GGGAGCGGCCACTGCACTCCAGTCTGGGCAACAGAGTGAGATTCTAACTCAAAAAAAAAAAGAAAAGAAAAGAGAGATGCATAGAGCGAAACAAAAAGTCCAAACATGTCATAAAGTGATCTGTGTAAGTCGTAATAAGGTTCTTGAAGGGGAATTTATTTTAAAATTTTGTATATAATTAAATTAGTTATAATTATTTTTCTCCAATTTCTAACTATTGTGGCCTAATGTTAAAATGTTTTATCTTAAAAGATTTTAATTACTTAGGAAAACCATGCTGTAAAAACATTCGCATTTTTATATCCATTTAACTTTTAGTATTGCTTTTAAAGTTTATCACCTTGGTTAAATAAATATTATTTTTACAAGTAATCTGTAATTTTATTTCAGTAAAATGTCTAAGCCTTTTATATATTTAGTAAATGTTCTATTAACTAATCCTTGTGCTATTAAGTTACAGGGCTTTGGCTCCTGGGACTAGAAAAAAAACAATGACTCTTGCTAAATCCCACTGTATTTATGAAACATAGGGCCAAAAATTAAACTTATTCAATCTCTTTATGTCTAGGGACTATTGCAAAAGAGGTGGATGTGTAAGAGTGTAAGGGGTGATTTTTGAGAGATAAAACTAATTCAGAGTTGTCTATAAATTAAGGCAGACATCCTCTAGAATCATCAGACCAGGCCAGTCCTCATGAACTCTAAAATAGCTCTCATCTTTACAATTGTCACTATGTTACCTTTAGATGTCTCTTGTACATGCTATGCCAAATAAAACAAAACAAAAGTAAACAAACAAGAGCCTGGATCATGATAGCTTGTAATATACATCTAATCCAAACTATGCATGGATAAATCTCCATGAGAGAAAAACAACTTGTAGAAGAAGACATACCATATGATGCTCTCTAAATATGCTTAGAAACAAAAATAACAGTAGTATTTATAAAGAAGTACATGGGAATGAATGGGAATGAGTGGTTACTTCTGGAAGAGAGAAAGGAAGATATAAGAAGAGATAAACAGAGGGGAAGGGCTGCATCAGTAATATTTTATTTCTTAAGTTAAAGGCAGTTCATGGGCAATCTTTAAATAAAAGGCGTGATGTGGCTCTAGAAAATCTCTAGAGAATATCACCCTCTAAACCTGTACTTTCCAAAAACATAGCCACTTGTTACATGTGGCTACTGAGCACTTGAAACGTGATGAGTCCAAACTGAGACATGCCATAGTATAAAATACACAGTGACTTTCAAAAATGTAGTACCCAAAAAGGGAATGTAAAATACCTCCTTAATACTTTTTGTATTGATGATGTGTTGAAATGATAATATGTTGGATCTACTAAGTTAAATGAACTGGAATGCTAAAATTAATTTCATGTGTTACTCAAATTAATTTAAAATTACATCTGAGGCCCCTGTTGTGTTTCTGTTGGACAGTAGGGCTTTAACAGCTGGAGTTTTGTGTGACATCTTGGGTGGTCTCAATATTGCTATAGTTTGTATGTCCGCTTCAAGACTCATGCTGATATTTAACTGCCATTGTAACAGTAATTAGAGGTGGGGCCTTTAAGAGGTGATTAAGTCACGAATGGATTAATGCCTTTCTCACAGAAGTGGCTTAGTTATTGTAGGAATTTGACTTCCTATTTCTTCTCTGCCTTGTGCTCTCTCTCACCCTTCTGCCTTTTGCTATGAATGGCCCTCACCAGGTGCCAGGGCTATGCTCTTGGAATTCTCAGCCTCCAGAACTGTGAGCTAAGTATACTTCTTTTCTTTAATATCCAGTCTATGTTATTCTGTTATAGCAGCAGAAAATGGACTAAGACAATAGCTCAAAATCAAACATGACAAAGAGAAAAAAGAGGGACAATATATTGGAAGAGAGAAATTCAAGTGTTTCCTAACCAATCCTTTACTCTGCAACTTCAATGTGACTACCCAGGCCCTAATATTCATTCTCCCCTTTTTCCTTTTAGTAAGAGAACACCCCTGTAGTTTCATCTGGACATACAGCTACCCAGACTACATTTTCCAGCCTCTCCTGAAGCTAGGTTTGGTGATATGACAAGCTCTTTTTAATGAGGCATGATATGTGATATGTGCAACACAGTGTCACTTGCTTAAATGGAAACTGCTTGTTGTCCTAAACTTCCCCTTGTTCATTTTCTCATAGACTGGAACAAAGATGTAATGCTGACCCAGCTTCAACCAAAGAGATGAGGATAACAACCTGGAGCAGGCCAATAAGAAGGAAGGACCCTCAATACCTAAAGGATCACAGGGAACAGAGCCATGGGTTACTCATGGGTGGATTTGGACTGTCAGTAACAAAATTAACATCTATTGTATTTAAGCCTGTGAATTTTGAGGGTGAATTCATGACAGCCCTCCTGCATCCTCTCATTTAAGTCTCACAATCACCTTCAAAAAGAAGTTGTGATTCCACTGTGTAGATGGGAAAACTAAGGCTCAAAGATCTACCACCATGACCAAAGTCATATAGGCTAGTATGTGACAGAACAGGTATTCTAACCCCCTTTTCATCTAATTAAGCCACAGCTGCTCCAATAAGTCTGGGTGCTATGGCTCTGGAACAGGGTACTTAAAAATCAAATCTTTCGGGGTAACCCCTTCAAGTCCCCTCCCACTGTGGGAACTTTTCTGTCCTCTCAATAAATCTTCCTTTAAAAAACAAAACAAAACAAATCTTTCCATTTAAAGACAAATTAAACTTACCAAAAAAAAAACCAAAAAACAAAAAACCCTGTAAAACAGACAGAACAAAACCATTTCTAATTCACTCCAACATTTCCACTATTATCCTCCTGTGATACTTCCTTTCAGCCTTTTTTCCTATACTTCTTGCAATGGATTGCATGCTGGCCCCCAAAAATGTACTCCTATGGCAGAACCTGTAAAGGTAACCTTACTTAGAAAAAGGGACTTTGCAAATATAATTTAATTAAGAATCTTGAGATGAGATCATCATGGATTGCCCAGGTGGGCCCTAAATTCAATGACAAAGTTCCCTATGAGAGACAGAAGAGAAAACACTGAGGGAGGAGGCAGGTGGCCATGTGAAGACAGAGGCAGAGACAAGCAATGCAGCTACAAGTCAAGGGACACCTGAACCACCAGAAGCTGGAAAAGGCACAGAAGGATTCTCCCCTAGAGACTTCAGAGGGAGTGTGACCTTGAGGACACCTTGATTTTGAACTTCTGGCCTTTAGAATTGTGAGAGAATAAATTTCTTTTGTTGTAAGCCACCAAGTTTGTGGCAATATGCTATGAAGCTAGCACATTTCATTTTTATAAATAGATGCACCCCTAGCAGATACATACTTTTGCTTCCTGTTTTTTTCCCATTTTCCTATCATAACAATTTTTCTGAATTACTAATTTTTAACCCTTTTTCTGAATCACTACTTTTTTTTTTCTTGTAGAGATGAGATCTTGCTATGCTGTCCAGGCTGGTTTGAACTCCTGAGCTCAAGTGATTCTCCCACATCAGCCTCTCAAAATGCTAGGATTATAGGCGTGAGCCACCACACCTGGCCAAATTATTACTTTTTGACCCTAACTTATAACAATTTCCCCCAAAGTCAGTTTATAGGTAGTTTTCAGCTTGGGTTTGCGAAAGACCTCTCTGGGGCACATAATTTTCTGCATGCTTTGTAAGGTTCATCCTGACATTTGGGCGCACACCCAACACCTGCCAGATCACAGTCACAGCCACGCCTGTCCTGCCCGGAGGCAGAGGGAGGCTCAGGGTGGGGATGGCACTGGAGAGCCCTGCCACTCACCCGCACATCCTGCTGCTTGGCTCTCACGTCCTCCAGTGCTCTCGACGCCCCGTTGATCTGACCGTACATGACAGTTAGTTTCTGCCTCAGCTTGGTCTGTGGATAAAACAAGTGAGGGTGAGGGAATAGCTCTTCAGCCCAGTCCCCATCACACCCAACCCCAGGAACCGTCCCCTGAATCCAGTCCATAGCCGTGCTGCCACCCGAGTCCTGCCTGCTTGTAGCTTTTCGAAACTTTCTGCTATTGCCTGCCTCCCTTCATTCTCTTAGGGGGACAGCATAGAGATGAAGCTAAGAGTACAGGATTTGGAGCTGGACAGACCAGGGCTTGCGTCCCAAATCCCAGCTATGCAACTGTCTCACACCTCAGTTTTCTTGGGCACAAAATACATACAACTGTGCCCACTTCACACGGCTATGAGGAGGATTTATTCAAACCATATAAATACTCAGCACAGTGCCTGGGTCTTAGTTAGGACATATTAAATGTCAGTTTTTATTATTATGAATCTCTTCACTCTTGCTCATTTCACAGCTGATGAAACTCAAGTAAGGAGGACAGCAAGGTGGCCAAGCTCACACAAGGACGGAACAAGACGGTACAGCTGCTTGGGTAGCAGCTGGTGAGGTCATTCAGACCAACCCTCTCACTGCAGACAAACAAAAAAATCGCACAAAAGATTGGGGAGAAAATCTGCTCAAAGATATCAGGGAGCTGAAAAAGCAGACAATTACAAAGCCAAAATCCAGGAGGAGGGGACCCAGACAGACAAGGCTGAAATCTGGAAATGTTCTCTCCAGAGGCCGCTGCCAATTCTGAAAGAAAGCTGGGAGAGACTCTGTCAGCCTCCAGGAGGTGGGAAGACAAAAATTGGAGTCCAAGGCTCACCTGGCCATCCTACAGGCTAGGAATAAGGGCAAAGCTATATGTTCAAGAGAGCTCCTTCATCCCACAGGGCCAAAGCCATCTGCAAATTAACTGATCCCCTGAAACTGAATCAAGCTAATTCAGAATTGCTGGGCCCCAGGTACTTCTGGAAACAAAGGCAAATCATGCAAGAAGGAAAAGAATATCATCCTTTATTATGTCTATAAATTTTCACAATCAATATCTGAATCGTTTACCTCCTTACCCAGATGAAAAGTTGGGGCACAGACATGGGAAGGAAAATAATAGCCACCACCATAATAGCAGCCACTAGTATTTATAATATACTTACTGTATGCCTGGCACTGTTTTAGTGCTTTACAGGTATTAACTTATTTAAAGCTAAGAACAACACTATGAGATAGGAATTACCCAACCTTTATAGATGAGGACACTGAGGCACGGAGCAATTTAAGTGACTTGCCCATGGCCACCCTGCTATTAACTAGCAAAGCTAAGATCCTGATATTAAAATTATAGACACATGCCCAAACCGAGCATGCTGGAAATTTCTAGGAAAAAAAAAAAACAAAAAACTTCCTTCCTCTTATTAGTTGTTTCAACATACTCTGGCCCTCCCTTCTACTTCCCTGCCTTTTCCACTCCAAGATATTTGAAACTAAACCTGATCTTGAATATGGATTCGAACACCCCAGTGACAATCACATGTAAGGGCTGGAAGCAGGGACCAAAGTCACACGAAATGGACCCGGAAAGCCCAAGTCACTGATGATGTTTGAGACACGACCTCTGTGACACTGCCCTTCGACCTGGCTTCTAGCAGCAACCAAGATAAAGTGTGAGCCCAACAGCAGGCCCACGCAGATCCAGTCACACAGGGCTCTGAGCAGGAAGAGACCTCGGAGCTCCCAAGGCTGTCGACAGCTTCATTTCCAAGGGCCGCTCCTAGCACTGCACCCTGAGCCCTATATTTGAAGGACTTCATTTATCATCGATCAAACACATGTGGCAATCTCCTTAACACAGACAGGGCTCACATGACTTCAGACCAAAGGAAAGTGGCTCAGGACTCTGGTAGCTGCAATAACCCCTTCAATAAGAATAAGAAACTTTTTGAAGTTTTGAGGATCCCTTCACAGACTGGTGACTTGTGTCCTCCACATGGGAGGTGCCAGAGTGAAGACTGAAGTGGCCAAGACAAGCCAGACACCCAAAGGCTGGGGGGCAATGCCCAGCTAGGACTGGCTCTGCCAACAGCAATGAGCAGCTATAACAGTATTCAAAAACGAGACCTGTTACAGGACTTGTTATGCCAGAACAACCTAGGGCAGGGAATGGTAGAGGAAGGCTTGTCATAAAGAATAAAAAGCTGAGTATACAGCCTGGCGTGGTGGCTCATGCCTGCAGTCTCAGCCACTTGGGAGGCTGAGGCAAGAGGATCTCTTGAGGCCAGGATTTCAAGATCAACCCGGGCAACATAGCAAGACCCTGTCTCTTAAAATTAATTAATTTTTTAAAATGGGCGTTTCGGCCTTGGGAGGCTGAGGCAGGAGGAGGGCTTGAGCCCAAGCAAGACCAACCTGGGTAACATAGCAAGACCTACCTCCATCTCTAAAAGAAAAAAAAATGGACCCGGAAAGCCCAAGTCCACAAAGCTTTGTACAGTACACAAAGCTGGACACAGACCTCCAACTCTGACCTCTCAGCCTGCTGTCTCCTCTGACCTCTCAGGCTGCTGTCTCCATTAATAACACGACAGGCCTTGTTCTCCCTGACAGTGCTGCAAGAATGAAATGAAATCAGGCCACACTTAGGAGCTTAGACCGAAATAACAAAAGGCGATTTGATTTCAGTCTCTGCTTTGAGTTCACAGGGGGACGGTATGATCCCCAAACCACTAAAAACACCTCAGAACTGAAAGGCCCTTAGGAATCCACCTAGTTCCACCTCCTCGCCGTACTAATGAGGACCCAGGTCCAGGAGCCAAACCCTGTGCTCAAAATCACACAGCCAGGATGGAGGACACCATGGTGCAAGAGCATTGGCTCTGTGACTCAGATCCAGGGATCACTGGAACTCTGCCCACCTTCCCTCTCTGTCCTCTAATAACAACTTCCCTGATCACTAGAACTCTCCGGCCCACCAAAGCCTTCTGCTTACATCACCTCAAGCCTCTGGGGTGTTCCATGCTCTGAATTCTACAGACCTGGATCTGAGGCTGGTGGACCAGGAGAAACCAAATCGTGGAGTCAAACCAAACCAACCTTGTCCCAAGGCCTGCTTGGTCACTCACTGCATAGGTCAGACCTAAGTTAATGTCTCTGGATCTCAGATTCCTCAACTGTAAAATGAAACTAATTATACCCACTTCCTGGGCATTGCTCGGATTTAATGAGGGAACAGACAACCTCCACAGTTCATAGCTGACATTCAAGACGCTCCACTAAACACCACCAGACAAGGACAGGCCTACAGCAAGATATTTCACCTGTGTCTTCAGCTGTCCCCTCCACAAATAAGTGTGTGGAGGGGGGTGGCTGGTGGATGACTGGAGAGGGCTATATAACCTCCCAGCTCCTTTCTACTCTGACATCGGGGTTGTCTCCGCCCCAGTCTCAGGCCCAGCAAGGCCTATGTCCCAGGGGACCCAGGACATGGCAGAGATGGCTGGTGGCCCCTCTGCACAGCCCAGCAGGCCCAGGCTGTCCTCTGCGCCTACAGGGGCGCCCCCTACCTCCAGTTCGGCGCTGGCCTGGCTCAGGGACACGGGCGAGCAGGCCTTGTGCTCCACCAGGCAGATGTGGCAGATACACTCGCTGTGCTTGGGGCAGAAAAACTCCCGCAGCCGGTTGTGCTGGGGACATTTGCGGCGCAGCAAGTCGCGCACCGGCGACTGCAGCGGGTGGTCCAGGAAGGCAGGGCTGTCGAAATGCGGCCGCAGGTGCTCCTGGCAGAAGGAGGCCATGCACACGAGGCACGTCTTCTCCGCAGCCTCCTTCAGGCAGTGGTCGCAGGCCACCTGGGCGCCGAGGCTGGGGACGGAGGCGCGGGTGGGCGGCGTCCAACCGTCGGCGGGCAGCTCCCGAGTCATCTCGGCCTTCAGGAACTGCTCCACCACCGTGCACATCACCGTGTTCTTGTGCAGTTGCGGGCGCGTGGTGTAGACGGCGCGACACTGCGGGCACAGGTACGGGGCGCCCTGGACGACCCACGTCTCGTTCAGGCACGACCCGCAGAAGTTATGGCCACACGGAGTGGTGACCGGCTCCTTGAAGAGTTCCAGGCAGATGGAGCACGACAGCTCCTCGGCCAGCGGGCACAGCTCGGCCATGGCGCTCCCGGGGGCTCGGGACGCGCAGGGACTGCGGTCGCGACTACTGCACCAGCGCTCGGAGGCCGCCGGGGAAACGAAACCGACCAGGGCAGGGGCGGTCCCTGCAGCTTTCAGGAAGTCACGTGGGGGCGAGGGGGGCCGAGAGGCGAGGCCAGGGGCCGCGCGGGGGCACCCCGGGAACCCGCGGCCGCCCTCGAGCTCGCGGAGATCGGCCACGTCCCCAGCCCCGAGGGCTCCCGGGGGGGCGCGCGGGGCGCTGGGCTCGGCGCTTGTCCCCCGGGGTCGCGGGCCATCCTCGGGACCACCAGGGTTCCGACGGCCCGTCTGCGGGCGAGGAAACTGGCGCTGGGTGCAGAATCTTGGACCTCCAGAACGCAGAGCCAGGCTTCCCACAAACTTGCGCCGGGGACAGGTCTCCTCATTGCCAGAACTCATCCGAGACTCGAGATGTCCCCACCGTCCCCGCCGGCAGGGCTGTTTTATTACCAGGGCAAGCGTTTAAAAGACGACCGCAGGAACTGTTAACCGACACTGCCTTTTTTTTTTTTCCAATTCTTCATCTTTCCTTGTCCCTGACTCGGACATTTGAACGGACATACAATTCCTGAAGACTGGAGCCTCATAGTCATACTTCAACTGGGCGATTTCTTTCTGTTTTGCAAATATAACATGTAGTCTTTTGAATTTCCCTTTCTACTTTCCTGGGATTTCTAGAAATTCAGTTTATCCAAGGTTTTCTCCCTCTCACACACAATATTAATATTGGAACGTAAACATTTTTCTTAAATTTTTTTATTTAAACTTATTTCCTTTCATTTTTTAATTTCTATTTATTTACTTTGAGAGACAGGGTCTGGCTATGTCACCCAGATCGGAGTGCAGTGACGCAATCATAGCTCACTGCAGCCTAGAACTTCTGGGCTCAAGGCATCCTCCCACCTCTGCCTGGGAAAAGTAGCTGGAACCACAGGCTCATGCCACTGCCCCCAGCTCATTTTAATTTTTTCTTTGGGGCCGGGCACAGTGGCTCACACCTGTAATCCCAGAGCTGTGGGAGACTAAGGCAGGAGAAGTGTTCAAGAGAAGGGGTGAGATGATAGCAAAGAGAAAGATAATGTTTGGGGAGGAGTTTGTTGGAGTTTGCTCTGGAGACAGAGTGGACAGCAAAAATGAGGAAAAGGTAAATGTCTTATATTACCTTCAATAGCTACTGTTTATAGGGTACCTACTGTGTGCTAGATAAGCCACATATCTTTTATAATCCTTATAAATGCTGTACAACAGTCAATTTTACAGATGAGAGTTTCTTATTTTATATAAAACAGGACTGGGATTCTAGCTCAGGACTGCTGAGCCCTGCATTGTCACCACTGGCTCCCCTTGTTCTTGTCCTGCAGGATCCTATTCCCCAAAACCTTTTACCTCATTTGCTCTCTTTCATATTTTGTTTTTGTTTGCAGGGAGAGGAGGAAGACAGAAGTCTGAGGGATTAGGAAAGGAAGGCTTGTGCATAGTATCTCATTTCACACAAAAATTATTTCATGTTGCAGATGTGAAAACTGACGCTTAGAGGAAACTAAATAACTTGCCTAAGACAATGGTTATGGGCACCCAGCCTATCTGATTTCAGGAGCCAAGAGTTCCCTACCATAATACGTCGCCTCTCAAGGGAGGAGGAAAACCGTTTCCAGGAAAGAAACACTGTGAGATCCCCTCTGACCTCCTTATCATGGGTGAGGTGGCCCTGGTGACTCATGTCAGAACATGGACTTCACTTCCCAAGCTGAGAGGTTTAAAAGGACTGGTAGCCGGGCTCAGTGACTCAGCCTGTAATCCCACGCCTTTGGGAGGCTGAGGTGAGTGGATAATCTGAGCCTGCGGGTTCGAGACCCGCCTGGGCAGCGAGACCTCATCTCTACAATAAATCAAAAAATCAGCCGGGCGTGGTAGCACATGCCTGTAATTCCGGCTACTTGGAAGGCTGAGGTGGAAGGATCGCCAGAGCCCAGCAGGTCGAGGCTGTGGTGGCCAGGAGTGGCCACTGCACTCCAGTCTGGGCGACAGAATGAGACTCCGACTCAAAAAAACAAACAAACAAAAAAAAAGGACTGGTTAGACAATGGAGATGACTAGGAGGGCCATACTTTAGGTTTCTCAAATTCCACGCAGTAGACATTCACTAAGACCTACTGTACAACAGGCATGCAAGAGACTGAGCGCTAAAGGCATGAGATGTAAGTCAAACATAGATCTGTCTTCTAACACAGGGAGATGGCAAGAGCGTATAAAGCAGTAAAAGACTACGGGGAGAGGCCAGTTCCTGCTAGGGGTATGGATTCCACAGCTGCCAAACAGGGAGCCCTGTAACACCTCTTATCGTGGGGATGTTGGGGAAATAGAATGAGGCACATGCAAAACACAGTGATGTGGGTGGGAATGGGATGTCATGAATATTAATCCTTGCAATGGCCTCATGAAGGCCCAGAGACTGTCCCTGGACTGGAGGATGTGTTTATTATTGGTAACCACCATAGGGCAATGCCCTCAAGTCAAATATGACCCAGATGGTCACAAGGGCCTGGCCCACAGATCACGTACAGCCTAGTCCAGCAGATGGCTGGCTCTCTTAATCAGATTCCCACTCTGCATCTGTAGATTGGGAAAACTAGGTGGAGTAATAAACCTCATTTGTCTGCAAATACAATTTGCTTATTATTTCCACCAATGTCAGTTCGTAGAATGTAAGGTCAGACTGTGGGTGCACCCAGTCTTCAACTCCCTATGAAGGACGTCTGTTCTTGTTCTTATTTGGCAGATGACCAGAAAAGTCTAAATGTCCTACGAGCATACAAGTGGCTAGACACAGTGATGGTCTTACAATCGTCACTCCTTATCTATGGAAAAGACTATGGTGCCCATGCCCCACACCTTGAGATCTAAAAACCAGCAAACAAAAACATATATTTTAAGCCATAAAACAGGTGTAGAGAGTTCTAATAAAGTTCTTTTTTTAAAAAATAGAAATGGAGTTTTACTATTTTGCCCAGTTGGTCTTGAACTTCAGGGCTCAAGGAATCCTTCCACTTTGGCCTCACAAAGTGCTGGGATTACAGGTGTGAGCCACTGCATCTGGACCCTAGCAAGGTTCGTATTATTGATCATTTTTTATTGAGATACTCTCCTTTATTTTATCAATACTTTTCTAAACAATACTGGTCATATGTTTTGTTCTTTATTTGGTCAATGTAGTGAATTGTACAAATTGAACGTGAAACCAAGCATGCATTCCTAAAATACCCCTTTGGTCATGAGGTATTATCATTTTCTATATTGCTGGTTTTAATTTGCTGGTATTTTGTTAAGGATGCTTACATCTGTGAGCATGAGAGATGGTGGTCTAACATATTCTTGCAATGTCTTTGTCAGGTTTTACTATCAAGGTCATCCTGCCTTCATAAATATGAATTGAGAACTGTTCTTTATTGTTTGAAACAACTTTTGTACCATGCTATTTTGTAGTGTAATTTAAATTTAAGTAATGTGATACTTCCAGCTTTGTTCTTTTTGCTTAAGATTGCTTTGGATATTCTGACTATTTTTTAGTTCCATATGAATTTTAAGATTGTTTTCTCTAATGCTATGAAAAATGATATTGGTAGTTTGATAGGGTTTGCATTGACTCTGTTGATTACTTTGGGTAATGTGGTCATTTTAAGCGTTGAATCTTCTGATCCATGAGCATGGAATGTTTTTCTGTTTGTGTCCTCTACAATTTCTTTCATCAGTGTTTTGTAGTTTTCCTTGTAGAGATCTTTCACCTCCTTGGTTAAATATATTTGGTATTTTAACTTTTTGGCTACTACTGTCAATGAAATTGAGTTCTTGATTTGATTCTCAGCTTGATCGCTATTGGTGTATAGCAGTGCTACTGATTTGTGGGTGTTGATTTTGTTGCCTGAGACTTTACTGAATTCATTGAGTCCAGAAGCCTTTTGGAGGAGTCTTTAGGGTTCTTTAAGTACAGGATCATATCATTGGCCTACAGAGATAGTTTGATTTCTTCTTTTCCAATTTACATATCCTTTATTTCTTTTTCGTGCCTGATTGCTCTGGTTAGTTATGAGAAGTTTTAAAATTATTAATTCAGTTTACATATTTATTACAGAAATATTCAGGATATTTATTTCTTCTTTTTAATTTTCCTTTTTTTCTTTTTTTTTTTTTTGAGTTGGAGTCTCACTCTGTCGCCCA